TCCAACCACATTATGAACACAGTATGAGTATTTGTTCAGCCGTCTGATATAAAAAGATAGACCGTATAAGCAAAAATTTAAAACTTTACTGGAATCTTTGTTAGCATCTGTTGACAATCTGCACATAATCCGTAAGATAATATTTACCTGATTTGCCTCTTACTAAGACCTAGCTTGGGCAATTTGTTATATTCTTTCCTTATGCTTCTACACAATGTTTGGTTACTAATTAATAGAGAAGACTATTGAAAATTTTCATTTTTTAAAGAGAAAATGAATTTCTAATTAATTTACTTGAAAATGTAAAATAGCAAGTTGTTGTTGTATAAAACGTTCAGTTCAATATTCTTGGTGTTCAAAAAGTCCGAATAAAAAAAAGTGGATAGCTCTTCAGCAATTCAAGATATTTAAATATTGTTTTTAAGAGTTTGATCACATATTCATAAAAGCTTTATTCAATATGTTTCAGATAAAATGTCTGCATTTGAATAGTTCTCTATACAAAGATATTTTATCTGAAAAATTTAATAAATATGTGATCAAACAATAAAAACAAAAACATATTTTAACCCTTTGAATTGCTGAGGATATGTTCACGGATTATTTTCGTTAGGACTTCTGAAGCATCTCGTATATCTGAGTCATTATTTGACAAAATCTAAAACAGATTTCTACAGGATAGTCTTTGTATGCAAGCAATTGACGGTTAAAATATTCCACAGCACAAAGGTATGAATAGGTATTTATACGTGGGATAGAGAAAAGAGACGAACAAGGAATAATGTTCAGAATCTTATTCTGCTTTGTTTTATTGAGAGCCATAGGTAAGAAGAAAAAGAATGAACAACACATGATCCTTATTTCATTAAAAAATATTGAACAAATTTAATAAAAGGCATAAAAAGATTGCTTTATGGAAGTGACTATGCGCACTCGAATGTACATAGTAAGTTCCTTTTATAAAATGTTTTCTTTTTGATTGTAATGGATGATTACTACAAATAATCTTGCAAAACCCTCCGTAATTTTTTTATTATTCCTGTTTTCGTTTTATTACACTTTTATTGTATTTATTAACTTTTAACATAATCTATGTATGAAATAACAAATAGGGTACATAACTATATATTCTTATGCAACATAACTGTATTAATATCGACAAGACGCCTTTATTTTAATGATGATGTAATCATAATAGTTATCGATGACTAATAGTAATAAAAATCCTTTTTTTTTCACTTTTCTCTTTCTTTCTTTCTTTTCCTTTCATGATAAAAAACCATATATGTGAGTCATGTTCCTTCGTAAAGATGAGCTTTGCCGCAGTTGTGACATTGCATCATCTGTAGTTTGGTATAAAATCTATTGAAAGTAATGATATATATTAACATATTTATTATTTAAGATAAAAGTTTAAATGGATTGTGGAAGTACTGGTTCAGTATGTTCATCTATAAATATTGAAGAAAAACGTTCTACCATTAAACTTGATACTATTCGGACAATAGAAAATCAAATGCAAAAACAATGGTTCGATAAAAAATTTTTTGAAGCCAATGCTCCAACTCAATGGATCGACAAGTTTGTTAACAATTTTTCTGTTTATCAATAACAGAGATTTTAATTTTTTTTAGTTCAAATAAATATTTTGTTACATTTCCATATCCTTATATGAATGGTCGTCTTCATCTTGGTCATACATTTTCATTATCAAAATGCGAGGTATAGATTATTATTCATTTGTTTTTTAAATATGAAAAAAAAAGACGCTTTAATTTCTACGAAAAATATTCTATATTATTATTTTCATTATAAATTCGATTTAAGTTTGTTAATTTTGAGACAATATATCATGCTAAAGTCTTTTCAAATATATAGACAACTAATTAGGCCCTTCTCCCCTTGTGAAAATTAGTTAGTTGCTTTTTAAGACTATCCTTAACAATTATGGAGTTGGATATGTATTTTCTATGTCACTGCGATATCTTCGACACCCACTATTGCTCGCTTTTTGTATAATATATTGTTGTCTCTGTCCCACAGTTTCATACATTCTGTGTTCTCTAGTTCTACACATAAGATATACTTCTCTCTGTGGTCTTTGGGAAGTGGAAGATTCATTCACTGAATTGTTGTATTAAGAGATGTATAGTTTGTGGTTGAGACAGTACATTAGCTTCTAGCAGAGATGTCCATCGCGGCGCTGCCGCTGTCGCGCCGCTGCCGCGATGGCGGTGGCGGCGCGGCAGCGGCAGGTTTTTTAAAAAATCACCGCGGCAGCGGCGCGGTAGCGGCAGATTTTTTTAAAAGTCATCGCGGCAGCGGCGCGGTAGCGGCAGGTTTTTTAAAAAACCATCGCGGCAGCGGCAGGATTTTTTTGGAGGACATTGAAAAACTGTATGAATTTAATAGAATTTCAGGATTTACAAATGAAACACCCTGATATTGAATAAATCTGATGGACTAGTACCCATATCTCTGGTCAAATATAGTCACAGCAGTGAAATTAGAAACACTTTTTTGAAAACCGTCGCGGCAGCGGCGCGGTGGCGGCACGTTTATTTTATAATTCATCGCGGCAGCGTTTCTTTTATAAGTCATCGCGGTGCGGCAGCGTCGCGGCAACATTTTTTTATAAACCGTCGCGGCGCGGCAGCTTTTTTTTTCTAAGGCCGCGGCGCGGCACCGGCAGATTTTCAGCCGCGATGGACATCTCTGGCTTCTAGTCATTATTACACGAGCTTTGACCTAGGGCATGTACTCTTTGACCCGGATACAGACACAGAAAACTTTAGATATGTATGCATATATATATATATACTATGTAAAAAAATTATTTGGACACCCTGCTATATTAATCTTGTGAAGCGAATTTCACGAAGAAGGAAAACCATTTTCTCAACTCTGATTATATCATTCGATAGACCGAAGGTTCCACTTTACTGCACACAAAAAAAAACTTTTTATTTGAAAAATTATTCGGACACTTGTAATTTTCTTTTTATGACACATTTATTCTACCCCAAAATATTTTGAGTTACATATCATTTGATAGAGAAAACATTTCTCTATATGTTGCTGTATCTTAAAATAGAAAAACATATTAACAGAATGCCAAAAACGTCCGAGTACCTGAAGCACCATTGGTTTTACAGAAAACCTTAAATTTCCAAGTTCAGAGAAATAGAATCCCAACTCCAAATACATCATTGGAAAGAGAAAAAAACTGAATTTGATCGTATCTTTTGGTTTTGTAAATTATTAAATACAACATATCATAATTGCCAATTAAAATTAGTATTTTATATGCATCATCCAATATTCTCTGTTTTTGGGAGACAAAATCAAGCCAAAACATCTTTTGAAAGATACAGGCTTGTAGA